CACAAAGTAATTATATATCAACCCGCAATCATTACTTCTCCGAAATAATAAGTAGTTAGTGTTTTGCGAGAGATTAAATTATATATAAACTTGAGGTTGTTCTCGAGCTGTTCTAATAAAAGCAACGTAACTTACATCAAAAATTACATGGCATTAAAAGCCTTAAAAATATCTTCAGCTCTATCCTAGATAAATTAATGCCGACAACCTTTATCTCAATGAATTTCAGATTATAATTAAATGTTTATAATGAATTCATTATAATGAACGTCTTCTATGTCTCTAGATAGACTGTTCATAATTTAAAGTACGCAACTTATACTGAGTCCTATAGAGCCAGTGTCTACGACAACATTATTATACACGTTCTAAAAATTGTATGCTTCTTTTATGTGCCATCAAATTACTCACCTTATAATTCTATCATTTGCCGAGAGGAACTTTCCAGAACAGCTAAATATCACTATTGTGAAACCTTTATTCAAAAAAGGCAACAGTATGGATTCAAATAACTATAAACCTGTAACCTTTGTGCCAATCTTTTGCAAAATCTTTGAAAAGACTGTACATTCCGGATTGAAAGATTTCTTAGACAAACATGATTACTTACAATTTGCTCGACTTCTGTAGTATATTTTGAGTTTATTTTTGTATATTTATGACTTTCAAACTCTATCGAGACTATGTATCTTGCAATTCTGCTAAAATTAACGTAATAATGGCGTGTCAATGACGTTTCAATAACAGCCTTTTTAATTCGGTTCTATATTGCAAAAGAAAAACTGTAATTATTATACTATTTAATACAATACTATACTCATAATATACCTATATTTTATTATTACAACGATAGACCTAGCAACATTAAATATTAATGGTTAAATAAAAATATTCTTCGGGCGGGATTCTTGGAATATCACACCCGGATACTTATCCTCGCCGCTAGCGACGATTTTACCAGCCCTAACAAAGAGATCATCTTTTCCTCTTAATTATATAAAGAAATCACACAACAACACATCAGGTTACTAACGAAGGCCTTTCTGAAATAAATTTTGAACTTAACTTTCATAAGATTAAGGCTCACTCAAAATTAAATCAGTTTCAATAAATAGCTCCGTAAAAGCTACCACTCCTTTATGGTTTACGAAAATCTTTAATAAGCTAATTTTTATTACAACTGTTAGTTAAAATTTAATTTATTTAGTTAAATAAGAACCTAATTTTTATTACAATAAACCAACCAATATTTATGAAACCGGTTTAGTGTACTAAGAAAATGCTGTCTTACCCAAAAGAGAAGTAAAATATCCCAATTACTTGATCAAATAAAAGATTAAAAAATCAATAAGGCTCTGATTGAAATATTGTAATTGATTTTGGAATTCGTGATTGCACTCAAATCGACGCCCTTGATTTGCGGTGATAACCTCCTTAGACGAGTGGCGTTTAATCCGGTTTCAGACCGTCGCCATTTCTGAGGTCCGGTACTATTCCCGGTCGGGTCGATATAGAACATTTCCCTAATACAAGTGTTTAAGTTTCTAAATTTGGGATCTGCGAAAAGTATGTAATGTTTTCTCATCACAAGCCTATTAATGTTGTCCAAAAGCCCACTGTTGGAGCTTATGCCTTCCCTATGGATAGAATCGAATCAGATAAAGAAATTGGGCCATGTATGACCCACCACGCGGGTCTAGTGCGGATTGGTGGATATTAACGGAGGAGTTCGAGATAATAAATGCTTGGTAACACATCTTACGACAGACCGTTGCTTAACAAACGTATTGCTGGCCGAGCGATCGAAATCCTGATATTTATAAAAGAACTCACATAGCTTATGAAATAGTTATCAAAATTCAAAACTTTCGTTCGGGGATAGGGATCGACTGTGGTTTTTTTGTTGTTGTTATTTGTTATAGTGGTTATTATTAATATTCTTCTCATAAAACTTCAATTTTTTCTTCAAAATTTTAAGTCAAAGAACTTAAAATATAATTTAGTACACACCCCCGGGCTTGCCAGGCGGCATTGGTAGTGCCTAATGCATTTCCTTAACGTAAAAAAAACGCGATATTATGTTACTATAAAAGGCATAATATAAAGTAATTTTCCGATGATTAACTCATAAATATATTTGTCATTTGCCTTATACGACCTACTCGTTCCATATAAGCAAGCCTTTAATCTCGTGTTCAAACGAGTCCTATGTGACGTAGAGTAGAAAATTGCTTGTGAACCTTTTTTTATATTTTAACTCGATGAGGTAATTCCATGAAAAAAAAATGAGGGTCTGTCAAAGAAATGTATAAACGAATGGATAAATTATTATTTATGTGATGGAAATTTTGCTATAGAATTACTTATTAAACAATAAATACTTATGAAGAAATTACTGTCGAGAATGATTTGGGGTATACTTTTATCAAATAGTAATTTTAGTAAATTGAATAGTGGCGTAATGAATAAGCGCAATCGTTTTTGTTAAGCAACTTTCGCAAGGGTCTGTTACAAGATGGGTGACCAAAAAATATTATCACGAGCTACTCCGTAGTTCAGAAGGCATGTTAAGCCGTTTTGCCAACTCCAACCCGCATTAGGCTAGCGTGGAGGGTTATAGCCCATCCTCTTCAGAAGGCACGTTAAGCCGTTTTGCCAACTCCAACCCGCATTAGGCCAGGGTTATGGCTTTCCTTGTGGATAGTTAACTATCCACAAGGAAAGCCTGAGCCCCTTCAATAGGAATATAAAAGGGCTGATGATGATGATTAGTTTTAGTTTCATACATAGCTGAGATTTATTGATTAAATATAATAATTAATAAGACAACGTCCCATACATTAATTAGACCCAAATTAACTAGCTTTGAACTTACAATGGAAAACCAAAACAACAAAGGTACCACAGCACCCCGACCCGTAACAACAGAAAAATTGATGTGCTACATTGACCCCATCGGGAATTGACCTCAGGAGGTTAAAACTAGTTTAAAAACAAAGTTCCCATAAAAATGATGTTTGTTCAATCGCTTGTATACTTTGATTGTTTCTTACAAAGTTGGTGTATCACCTTGTGGATCTAAGTTGGATTGCACTATAATTGCAATAAAAGTGAAGGTTTTTTTTATTAAATTTTATAATATCTGTTACGCTAATTTTAACATTTACTATGGATTGCTATGTACCATCCTCCATATTGGGATAGTAAAATAATTTTAACTAGCAAAACTTAAGCAGTTATGGTTTACAGTTAAAGTTATGACGTCATCCAACCACTGCAAAATGATAACTCATTATTATATGCTTAACCGATGCTTTTGTTTGTTTTTGTACAAGTAAGTTCATGCAACTAACCCTCAATAGTCATAAATATGGTATATATAGGATCGGAGTGGCTTTTTGTAGTTATCTAACGTACAAAAATGAATGTTGACTGTACATTTTTTCTCGGAGGTAGTTGTGAAGAAAAGGAGCAATTTTTGTGACTCTCAGTTTTAAAACCTAATCAAATGATAATAATCACATATTTACATACTTCAATTATCTTATATGGTCGTATAGGACATTATTCTACCAACATAAATAAAATTCCGTGCATAAACACTACACTATATTTCAACCTCACACTATGGAGTCAATGAAAATACTAAGAGGCTGCACAATTGACCACTAGGATGGCTGAATTCCATGCAGATCTTCGCAAGGTCGCCCTCCTACGACGGATACTGTATCTTCACTGGCTGATGACTTTTTTTGTTTCCGGGCTTTGGTTATGACTACTATCGACACTCTACAGAAGCAGATGGAGGCTTTCACACAAAAGAATGAGAGTCGCGAGATCCGAAGTCGAATTCGTATGCTACTGGTACACGGTGTGGCTGAGCGCATAGATGAAGCTGTGTCAGATTTGTCCCTGAGTGTGATAGGTCAACACCTCAAGCAGAACACATTCTCAGGGCATGATATCAGTCGTATACAGAGATGATAAGCCAAGACCCATTTTGTTATACAAAAATATCATTCAAGCGTTGTGACATTACATTGTGTTACGTATGAGTTTCTGATTGTGAACGGCATGGATTATTTCTCGAGGCGCGAAAAAGGTACGGTATCTCTAGATGTTGGACACGAGAACGTATCATCTTAATGTTGGGTTCCAATGATAAACGTCAGCTTGTAAATTGCTTAAGTGACTTAGATAAAATATCAGCATCTTTACCCACTGCCACTGTAGCTCCAGTTGCTAAAGTGCACGATAAGAGCAGAAGACACATTGTTGCCAGAAAATAGTATATAACTTTATCTCTTAAAATTCTTGGAGGCACAATGTAATCATTTGCTAAATATTATCACTTTGTTCCTCAACTGGTGGATTGAACAGTAATGACAGTTAATTTATAAACAAATATGTTGATAGTTTTAAAAAGTGGCGTAGCGTTAACTAATCTAAACATGGCCAAAGTTTTATTTACCCTCTGTTTCAATATACGTCTGCCTGGAGAATCAGGTCTTCTGCCCTAGCCCTACATTTTTTTTTATTTGAGCAATTTATGTGATCTTGTTATTATACAGGGTTATAGGTAATTAAAGCGGATTCTTTTAAGGGGTTTCACCTCACATTATGTATCGGAAAGTGAGTAATTTTTAAATAAATTGTTTTAATTTTGTTCTTTAAAAAGTCGATAAAAAATTAAATTATAGTCAGAATTACTTTTGTTGACAGTTTTGGAGCGATAACATTCCAGTTCGTGATAAATAATAATAAAACCCAAATAATCTTGACCCAAACAGAAACTACAGTGTTAAAAAAAGTTTTTTGTTGTTGTAAATTTGCAAACAAAAGTGCATTTAAATAAATATATATATTCTTTCGGATATACACTGTGGGGTGAAAATAATTAAAAATGACCTCCCCTACGACTTCTTAAAATGATTCGGTCTAATTATTCATAACCCTGTATATATATTTTTAAGTTTTAGTCGCCAACGTGATCAACTTACCTAATATCATCATCATCGGGATGATGGTCCGGCGGTAGATCCAGCCGGAGGTCGCCGAGCGCCCGCGCCGCGTGCCTCCTCCGCCTCTCATACCACAGCCTCCTTTGTTCCCTCTCATTATCCCTCTGCACACCGAAAAAAGTCTGGGTCTCTCTTTTAAGGTAATCCCGCACCGCGATGGTGTGCGCCCGTCGTAATCTGACGCCGTCTTCTTGCGCGGGTTGTGGTACTGGGTCTGGGGGCGGCGGGGCGGGGGCATGCGTCGCAGGTGGAGCTGACACGATGCGGGGCGGGGAGGTGGGTGCGGGCAGCGGCGGCGCAGACGCAGCATTATTGGTGGACGCTGATTGGCATGCCAGCTGGGGTGCCAATAGACCCGCGCTTGAACGCCTGTAACAAATGATTACTTATGTTAATAACACATTTTTTCTTCTGTAAGCTTCCTAAAAACCAGTGGCTTCACAAAAACAACGGCTTAACGTGCAGTGTTTATGCTATTAGCATTATATTGCTTGGATCATTTTCTCAAGTGGATACCTATAATCACATTGGAAATCAATCAGAGTTATCACGTTAATCAGTTATGTTATAATTTTAATCAACAAAATAAAATAAGTCTGCATAATATACTTTCAATTTCATATTTTATTAACATTATATACAGTTCTTGGTTATGAGTTTAATACAAGATTATAGTGCTAAATTTAATATTGATGAAGACAAATAAATTTTTTGGATTGAATAGATTTGTTATAACTTTGTTTTATTTAAATAATTATTTATTTAAAGCGTTTGAGTTTGCAACTAACAAATAAAATTTCATTCACGAAGCTTTTTAATGTATGGTCACCATTTCTCGAATGACAAAGTGGAATTTAATTTAGTTAAAGCGGCTACTTTATTTATAAATCAATGGATACGAGTATAAATCGTTTTTAACGCAATGCATTCAGAGTTATTAAAGGCCTATTCAGGAATTCAATGGCAGCTCGCATTATTATTTATGAATGTAAAATAAATTTCAGTGGGAGTGTATTAAGCAGTTGTCACAGGTGCTCGGTAGAAACGATAATAATTCGCACGCAGAGCGCAGGTCCGCGTAAATCAAGATATACATGGTAGCTAAGCAATGTCTTTGATAAATTTTCCTTATTATTGTGTCGCCGAGCTGAATAACGAATTAAGGCCGATGTGTTTATACTGCGTAGGTGCGATGTTACCTGATATACATCTGTAGTTTGAACCTGGAATAGTATGTTTTTGCTAAGACGATTAACGCATAAATCATTGGCATTGGAAAACTTTACTGAACCAGGTGAATAGGATCACTTGATATAGCAGTAATGGCAGAAATGTTACTTGATATTGTTTTTTTTTTAAGAAATTTTTATCGTATTGTCTGTCCTATTAATGTTGCTACTACTGGGTCCTTCTCTATAGATGGAATCAAGTTAATTCAAGTAGGAAGAATAAGCAATGACCGGTTAGGGCATGGTGTCGCAGACTCAATCTCAAATGAAGAACTTCTACCCCTCGTTTAAGAGTATAACAATACTATTTACAAGATTAATAAATATATCAGACCGCGTGTAAAATTGAGCTTGAAAATATTGACCCATACAAACACAGTAAATAAAATTAAAGTACTGGTATAAATTTTAATAAAAGCTTATTATAAAGCACATACACCTAAAACTAAATATTGTTATATAAAGCTCTGAAATGTATAAGCTAGTTCTTTTTTATCTTGAACACCACAATTGTTTCGATAAACGACTTATAAGGATACAATGACAAATTATATAGGCTATTCACATTAGGGTCACGTCAAACGACCAATAATGCAGACACCTAGTACGATCATTGCTATTCCGGATGCGGCGCCAATATATCCCCCCTATATTGCGTGGCCACAAAATATACTGATATCCTACATCTCGATCGGAAACTCTTATGTCCACAACTATAAAACTGTCCTGACAGAAACGGTCGTATTACGAACTTTATTTGCGATGTTTACAGTCCATTCTCCTATGACTTGCTACACTATTTTTTAATAGTAAAATAGCAATTCACATGAAATTTGAATAAGGCTAAGGAGTAATTGAAAAATATTGTAGATATATAGGGCTATAAGTATTTTCAGAAGAATAATTTGCTTTTTTTTATTCAAACCTTTAATACCAGCATCGTTGCTGTGATGAAACACAAATTATTGACATTAGCTGATACAGGGACCTAATTGGCTTTCACAATATATTAGTGATGCCACCCAACCTCTGTTTTACTCGAGTAAAAAAATCTATTATTCGAGTATCTATTCACTCGAGTTATCGAGTCAACTCGACGCATCGAGTCGATTCTGTTGGCACTAGACGTCTCTTCGCTACTCTACTTTATTTATGTACTAGCTTTTGCCAGCGGCTTCGCCCGCGTGGACCCTAGGGAAATGTTTAGTGGGATAAAAAGTATCCTATTATATAAGTCAGCTAACACCCTATCTGTATACCAAATTTCATCAAAATCCGTTCAGTAGTTTCGGCGTGATTGACGTACAAACATCCAAACATCCAAACAAAGAAACTTTCACATTTATAATATTAATAGGATGACGTTTCTGTACTTTGTTGTTTAACCATTTTTTATTTTATATTCTATAGACAACACCAAGCATACGGAACAAAATTAAAATTTCTCCTCTTTAAAATTAATTGCCGAAATTCGACATACTATGGAAACCTGATGTGTAGCAGTGTGGGCGTATGTACATTATATAGGGGTTTGTTTAAAATTACTAAAATAACTCTCACTTGAATTACAAATTAACAACTCGAGTGAGATTTTCACTTGACGTGACTCGAAAACTCAAGTATGACTCGAATGAAGCACTTAAGTGGATCGAGTGACTCGACTCACAAAAACTATACAAGACGTATCACTAAAACATATATGTATACTTATTAATTATGTATAACATTAGATATTAATTTCTTTTTATTTTTTGTCCTTCTTTCTTTTCATTCTTTTTATATTATGATGTGTGAATGTCAATAAAATTCTTCTTACACATATTCTATTTTTCAACTACTCATTTAAATAAATTAAAAACATGACAACTGTTTTTAATGAAAAATATATTACCATAACATTATTAACAATATGAAAATACGCTTCCGCAAATGAAACATACTTTACCGACACGAAAGATCAATGTCCGACCAAAGTAATGACCATAATAATTTCGTAGTCGTCTACGGTAGTCCGTAGCACCGTAGCAGTGAAGCCATATTTGCGATGCCCAGCACGAACGCAATAACTCAACTTGGCGAGTAGGAACGTTATCCTTACTCCAGGATGTATTAAAAGCGCAATTAACATTGTATTCCTTTGTTATTCTTTTCCGGGATAACTACAAGCTTTAGTTGTAAAGTACTAAGCTTTATCTGTTAATAAAAGTAAATACTTGAGACCAAACATCTCTTTTGAGTGTCTTTGTTTTTCTTTCTAAATAGAAAAAGTAATTGTTATATTTATTCAAATCTGCATTCACAATACTATACAGAAAAATATTTTTAATGAAAAATACATAATAAATCCACTTTGTTCCTGGCACTGAAATGGGACTCGAACCAATGACCTTTTTGCAGAGCGGGCGACTGCTCTACCCACTGAGCTACACAGGATCTAAAAGTATTGATGAATTTTTCACACTTGTTACTTTTTCGCTACTACAAAGCGTATTTTCATCTATATTCAATCAAAGATCAAAGCAATCCACACAAAGAACCGAAAATATTTTTTTTACAAATATTTAAACTATCGACATAAATGAATATTTATACAACTTTGCATTTACATCGCTATAAATATATATTTTTCATTATTGTAAAAAGTAATTTAAGGAAAATATACAAATAATAGTAGCAGTATGCTTAGAAAGATTCTTTGGACTATTTGCTACGACTTATCACAAAAACTATGTCGTATTTCTTTCGTTTTTGTGTCTTTATTTTTTTTTGTTTTTACGAAAAAAAATATATATTAAGAAAATATACAAATCTTAGTAATATTACGCGTATGAAGATTTAAAACGACTTCTTCTTTAGACAATTTGGTTTCGGTGATTTCAATGTATTCTGGTAATCGAAATACCATACATACATTTTTTTCAGATTCTAGCTTATGGTAAATATAATCTAGAATGTTCTAGGTCTACCAAATAGGATTTCTAAAATGGTTACCCATCCCTTCTTTCCTAGTTACCGTCGTTGTCTCACCAATCTGTATCTAGACGCTTAGTTTCTACGGTGTTAGCGCGACTCAGCGCTCTACGGTCAGATAAAAAATCGCGCAGCGTTGCGCCTGGCACTCCGTAACAATACGTAAGTAAGAGCAGGATAGACAAGCAAACTGTCTACGATAACCTTTTCCTTTTGCTCTGAGGATATATCTAATGTCGACACAAAAGTAAGAGGCCAATTACTTTCAGTGCACATCGTAAAGAATAATCATATCAGTTCCCATGTTGAGACTTATATTGTTCACCTGATTTATTCACAACACGCGAAAGCTGAACAAATACTAAATTCTTTAATTTCCATCCGAGCCCTTGATTACTCGGCACGGCTCCCGCGAGCGCTCTTCACCTTGCTTCTTATACATTATTCAAGGAGCCAGTGCTGCGAATCCACCAATTATATTTCTCTTTCCCCTATTTATTAGTCTGCCATTTCAGAAAATTACCTTAGACGTACCTACTCTACGATTCATCAATTACAAAGGCGTAACATGTGATTCAATTGGTAGTCTATTGTGGTTGCGTACAATGAAAGCACGTCTATTATTTGACGTCATATTAGTGGCATGTAATGATTGTGATCAAGGTCACACGATGTGCTAGCTAAGCCTTTTTCCAAAGTGTTGTGTAATATTAGCAGTTAGTCATTATATTCCGATGCCACGCTCATAAAGTTTTGTCGTAAGTTGAAATAGAAATACGCTGAAAGCAGTTTCGTTGATAAAAATATATGGAAACTTTGCTATCCTCGAAACAATCATTATCACATTTTAACCAGTATACAAACCCTTGTAATACGTACGTTTTGCGCTAATTTTGGGGTACCTGACGTTTATTAAAGCATTAAAGTCATTATATATAACGGATCAATAAATGTTAGTACTTTAAAAACGCAGCTAAAAAAAAATTAAATGGGTTGAAAAACAGCTTATTCAGATATTATTTTCAATAGATAATGTAGTGACAAATTATACAGCAAACCGGAAGTCACATTTGCCTACAAGAGTTTCCCGCGGGCGGTTGCCAGCTCGGTTTCGAGATGGTTCCATCGCAAGGGCGAATTTACTTCGATTCTGTAAAAATCCAAACTGGAAC